TCATAATTTTTATTTATTTTTATTCTTGGTGACTTGCCTTTATCTCAACTCCTGTTCAAATGAGATGCTGATTCATCTCTTTGATACATCACATACAAATTACTTTGTCTTCATGTATGAAATAACATTTCAAATCCATGAAAGCTGCAAGTTGCTTGTGCCTGATTGCATGAAGGAGCTCTCTAACAAGTTTTTTCCTTCAACAAATTTTCCTCAGAAAAAGCTTTCAGGTCATCCCAACATTGTCCAGTTCTGCTCTGCTGCATCTATAGGAAAAGAAGAATCGGATACTGGGCAGGCTGAATTTCTTCTGCTCACTGAGCTATGTAAAGGTAAAACTTCTGTGTCTTTGAGTACTATGGATTATCCTAAGCACTTGTTCATTTATTTTGTATGTAACAAGTACTGAACAAAAAAAATAGTGTGAAGCTTTAATTTTTAAGGAACAGAAAAACAACACTTAATTTTGCCTGCAAACTCTGCTCACAACATGGTGGTGTAGAACGGAACGCAGTTAATGAAGGAGCAGCTCTTGCAAACTTTTTACTTTGAAGGCATTCATAGCTTTTTGACCTGTAAGAGCACTGAAGACCATCTTGTGTCTTTTTCCTGTAGGGGTAAGTGATAAAAATCAGCCTGGAATTTGTCTATATAAAATCTGTTAAAATGTAGGGTTTAAAATGTGACTTAATAAACATTTGTCACATTTACTCGCCTAATATTCTATATGGTAACTTTTCAGAACTTGAAATATCTATATGCTAATATGAATTGGTTTTTTTCTTCTACAGGGCAGCTGGTAGACTTCTTAAAGAAAGCAGAATGCAAAGGGCTTATTTCATGTGATACTGTTCTGAAGATATTTTATCAGACCTGCAGAGCAGTGCAGCATATGCATAAACAGAAACCTCCTATTATTCATAGGGATTTAAAGGTACAGTATAGAATTAAAAAAAATAATTTTTTCAAGTATAGTAGGAGCATGCTAGCTTGGATTTATGCATAATATGAAACATCTTGAAATGCAGCACAAGCTATTTTGTCAAGAATACTGTTTGAGAATGAAGGCTTGCTTTATATGGCTTACTACTTAGGCAGCATCTATTATTAATATTTTGTGCTAAAATACTTGTTGACATTCCTGCTAGACTACTAAAAGGCAGTTGAAACCTTGTGCTTTGCTTTTCTCCTCCTGAAGTTAATCGGAGCTTTTTTTTTTTTTTTAAGGAGTTAGTACATGTTCCTGAAATTTTAATTCAGCTTAATTCTGGTGGTAAACAGAGAGAGGCATTGGTATGTACCATATTCACTCAAATATTGGGCAACTCCCCAATAATTAGATTCTGTATATGGAACATTTGTAAACTTGTTATCATATTCCAGGTGTAAAATCTAATTATTGGAGGTTTGCTTTGAATTTGTCCCCCTCCCATTACTATAGCAGGGAAGACAAATCTGGGAGAGATCAGGTGGTCCCTTTGCTCCCCTGCCAACTTCTGCTGCAACCCCTTTCCACCCCTTATTGTAAGACCCTGCTCTCCCTGGGCACACGGAAGTAAGGCAAATCTGAAAACACTGAGTTGGAAATAAACATTCCTGTAGTAATGTGCTAGTTCATCCACAACTGATTAATTTTACCTTTTTTTTTTTTTTTTTTTAATTGCTCCAAATTTTAGCACAGGTACTCCATAAACACACTTTTAAGCAGCAGTTTTGTACCTACTTGCATCTAGTACAAACTATCCAACTATGCATGATATTAGTCCAAAGCCAAAAAGCTTATGATTTACTATATAGTTGATTGGGCTGGGCCCCAGCAGAGTCAACAGTGTTTTAAGTCATGGTGAATCCCATAGCTCAGCACTGCTCTGTGTGGTGTATGCGCGTGCGCATGTGCACATACTCCTGATTACATTCCCACTTCTCCAGGGAAAGGTCACTGTTCATAACCATGGCAATCTGTAATGTAAAAATCTTGTGAAGGTAACAGGATCCCTCATTCTTTAAATGAAATTCATAAGCATTTATATCAGTGTTTCCTATAACTTTTTTTCTCCTTCTCTTGCACGTGAAAGAGAATATCACATCCTCCTACTTGAACATGGAATGTGCTTTTCTTGGGAAGGAACAAACTGAGCGTGTATTTGCAGTATAGGCTATGTGGAGCATCTTAACAGGTTATCAAAGGCTTTGATTTTTAGTGGTGCGTGCCCATATAATCTAGTTGACTTAAGTCATGCTGAGAGAAGAGCATGGTCATATCCAGGATTTTGGAAGGGAGAGAGTGGAAGCAGCAACCTGTGCTGGAAGGGCTGCTGACCCAGGCTTGCAGCCTCCCCACAACAAGTGGAGGAGCAGCAGTGGGGGATTTTAAGTCTCTGAAGCAGGTAAGAATCTTCTCTGCCCCTTCCCTTCTCCTCTGTGCTCAATGGCACATTTCCTCCCCTCCTATTCTTCCCCTTCCCTAGCTGCTGTCGTCCCCAGAAGAGCCAGGGGCTGGGGAGGCTCCAGAGTCAGTTCTGCCCAACTGCAGCTAGTCTGCATGTGGAGCCAGGCTTGGTAAAGACAGTGGTGGCAGTGGGTGGATTTCCTTCCCTTGCACCTGCTCCTTGGCTGTAACGAACCTGGGCAGGGAGGTGAGACCTGCCCACTGCTGCTGCTGTCCCTGACTGAGCCTGCCTCTACCTGGAGCTGGGCTGGAGCAGGCAAGAGCAGCTCTGGAGCCCCTGCCTCTGCCCCCAGGACACTTGGAGAATGCAGCAGCAGTTAGCAGGAAGGGAAGGGGCTGCTGAGCACAGAGGAGGGAATTTTTTATTTGTTTCTGAGACTTAAAGTTCCTGGCTACTAATCCTGCTGTATGGTAGACTTAAAGGGAGAGGGTGTCCAGGCTGTTGCAGAGCACCACTCCCTCTTCCTTTTTCCCCATCCTCTCAGTCCTCACAGAGAAAAAGATGCGTTAATCAGCCTGAGGTAAATTTTCCTGGTGCAAATTGTCTAGAGTAACTTTTGCACCAGTAGCTAAAACCTCAGTATACAGAAGCTCATGGAACATAAGGTAACAAAATAGGAAAGGTCTCCTCTAACTATCAGCTGTAAAAGCGTTTTCAGCACCTACCCTTTTTTGAATAACCCTTTTCACAAAATTGTTCTAGACTAAATTGAAATGAATACTGTAATCTGATTAAAAGTCAGTCTGGGAGAAATGTCTCTGGCACAGATTCAGTCAGAGAGGGGAAAAAGCTGGTTTCATGTTACTGTGGCTGCAGAAGGGGAGAGGACTTTAACATAGCCAGAGAGGGCAAAATCCTGACTTCTGTGCTGCAAGAGACAGTGTCTTCATTATAGTGATGTGGGAAGGTGTGTTCCTTGATGATTTCACTCATCTCTCTGCCTTTTCCACAAAGCTTTATTTAGATCAACAGAGGAGAAGACTCTTACCAGTGTGCATGTAGCTTCTGAGCCAAATCATTTTATTGTTCTTTAGTTTAAACCCATATACAGGGAAACTTGTCTAAGAGGAAATTGCAGTGGACCAGGAGAAAGTTCTGGTTTAGACAGGCTTCTTTTTTTATATGGGAAGCAGAGGCACCTGCTTTTCCTGGCTCCCTGATGCCTTTCTGCTGGGCAGGCGCTCAAGAAACATTGTCCCCAGCTTGGTATGGCTGATTAGCAAGACTGGGGGGACAGAGGAGCAGGGATGTTTGTTAGGGTGTCAGGGCCAGTGGCACTGCAGTTTTGGTGACTGTGCTGCTACCCCCTACTTGCTAGTTTGGCTGGGGACCAGGGCATCCATAGTGCTACCTAGACTGCTAGAGCCCAGGAAAGAGGACACCCCCCCCCCCCCCAATGTGGCTATGCTTGCTGCTCCCTTGCTTCCTAGGATCACTGGCGATGGTTTCCATTGGGTAGCAAGGGTAAGAGGGCTCCCTGAAAAGTGGTAGCACTCCCTCATCCATTCAGAACTGGAGTAGCAGTAGGAACAGGGCAACAGGACTGCCTTTCCAATCCCTGCTGCTGCCTGCAACTCTTTATAGGCTGTGCTGGAAGCCCTGGGAGTAAGAAGCTGCTGTTTGGTCCTGGGGCTGCTGGCATGCCCTTTAAATTTCCTGGCATGCTAATACTTTGAGACTGGGGAGGTGCTTCTTAGTCCAGCAAGCAGGGAGCAGCTTTTCAGAGTGCCCTGCAGGACAGTGAAACCTGTTTAAGAAGTAGGGGTGGTGCTGCTGAAAACACTTACAGCTGACTGTTAGAGGAGACATTTCTTATTTTGCTACCTGTAAAAGCTGGAAGCCTGTCAAATTTCCTTTCTGTTTCAATATTAGTTTCTGGTTTATACTGGCTAAAAACACTTCGTTCCCTGTTAGCCACGCCAGGACCACAGACATCTTTTGGCTTGAGTAGGTTTCCTGATTTAATGGTTTTTAATCTTAGACAAGCTAAACTGTACAGTTTTGTTTTTAAATGTTGCTTTGCCTTTAAGTGTAGCTTCTTCAGAGAAAAGGATAATTGAAAGACTTTCTACTTTTTTTTTTTTCTTTCTTTAAAGATACAGGGGTGCCTAAACTCTTCAGTATATTGCAGCTTTTAGTAGGCTGAACTTTGTGCAGTGACTGTCAGTTGTTTCCTTCTCCTTGTCAGGATGATTAGGTTCATTTTTCTTTCCCTTTGAATCTTTCTTTGTCAATGGCTAATGGTTATGTGAGAATTAAAGAACTTAATGAAGAACTAATTATGGAGTGCCTTGTAAATAGTCTTGTGGTTTTGTTTCAGATGGGCTTCAAGCATCATATACTTGCAACATCTTCAAAATTGTGGAGGGGAGCTGCTGCTCAGGAGTGTGCAGCAGCTATTGCATTTACATGTGTATGATCCCGTAGCAATACAAGGGAGCTAAATGACCCCGTTTTGAACCTGGATGAAGCAGGGTTAAATTTTGAGTGATTTTGCTAGGATTGTATTGTTACAAGTCTTGCAGGTGTGACAGTACAGCATATAACAGCTGCAGCATGCTCTCAACAGCAGCAGCTCCCCATCCCATTTTGAAGCCTTTACAACTGTATGCTTATCCTTGCACTGAATTAGTTTGTCCTTTTGTCGCATGGAGACAAATGAGTCAGCTTGTGGCTTAGGAAATAGTTTTCTTGGGAATTAAATTTCAGTTATTTAAAATTTCCTTTGGATTAGTTTTAAAGGCATAGGACAAATCCCCTCAGAATTTGCCTGGTCTACATAAATCTTCAGAAGACCAGGGCTACCTTGATGGTCATCCTTTTCCTTGAGGAGTTGGAGATCATTAATGATATATCTAAAGTATTCAAGATCGGGGCTGAACCAGAGGAATTATTGTGCTTGTCCTGGGGTTGGTGTTGTAGCAGGTTTAAAGCAAGCAAGATCTGTCTGGCTTTGAGTACTAAAGTTTTGGGATTATATTGTAACTGTAGGAATCCTTGTTCCAGATCCTTAAGGTGTGCATTCCAGTTAGTGGGATCAGAGCAGATGTGGTTGTAACATAGAACTTGACTGTAGATGATGGATCTAGCTGTTAGTTTAGGATGAAAACTGGTGGAATGAAGGTAGCTGTGGTGTTTGGGTTTCTGATACACTGTGGTGGTGATGTGGTCATTGTAGACTGTCACCATGGTATCTAGAAAGTTTGGGGTGGGGGGGTAAGGGGGGAGTTGATAAAATCCTGTTGAAATTTCTCTAGAGATTCTTTCCCATGTCATCAGTGTAACTTGGGTATATCAGGGGGCTGAGAGGGCAGCTGCTGAGGAAATGGGCTTCAAGGTCTATCATAAATATATTGGCATGTTGGGGAGCTATATGTATGCCCATGGCAATGCCTTCTGTGGATATTGGCAGTCCTCAAATCTGAAATTGTCCTTGCACAACTAAGCAGGACAGTGCGGTGGAAAAAGAAGCTGTATCCTTGATGGGGAATAATGTTCTTTAAGGCTTATATTATAATTCATCCTTATTGGGGGGGATTTTGGTGCGCACAGTTGTGACATCCGTGGTAGGTAATGTTTGCTGGAAGCTTCTCAATTAACACATGTGTCCATCAACAATATAAGAGCCATTAATGAGACAAGGGTTGTAACTCAGGAATGCAACTTGCATCACCCCACTTCCGTTGCATCAACAGATGTAACTCCACATGGTACAAGATACAGTGATAAAGATGCTCATGCTTTGAGGCTAATTGTCATGCAGGAAGATGAGATGTGCAACATTTAATATTTTGAATAAATATTTGTGGCACTTGCAGTTAGCATAGACTGCCCTTGAGGCTTTCTCTAGCTTTTAAGTGGTGCTGCTGCTGAGACTAAATGTTAAATGCATCTTCTTTCAGGGCAGGTAGTGAAAACTCTGTTTCATGGCTCTCTAATTTTGTTTAGTCCAACTTTCTTCTAATGTTATGTTTTGTGTGACTTTTTCTAGTTCTTTGCCCAGGTATTTTGCATTGAATTCCAAAAAAATACCAAAATTTTTAACCTTTACAAAATTGAATATAATTCAGGAAAAACTATATAGCAATGAGTTACTTAGCTAGTTTTCATGATTTTTTTTATTCTCTGCTGTGCCTTAGACTTGGTCCTTAGGTCAGTCACATATACTTACACTGCTTTTAGGGTTCCTCTTCCACAAGATTAGGATGTTACCTACCATGCATTCTTAAATTTTCAGATGCTTTGAGATCTTTGTTTCTGTAAGCACAAATGTTCCTTAAAGACTTGCCATTTAATCATTTTATCAATCTGTGCCCTTCTGAGTACTTTTATAAATGTAACATCTTATCAATTTACTTCCATTGCAGGTGGAAAACTTGCTGATTAGTAACCAAGGAACAATTAAGCTGTGTGACTTTGGCAGTGCTACAACAGTAGCATATTATCCTGACTACAGCTGGTCTGCACAAAAGAGAGCAGTAGTTGAAGAAGAGGTGAGAAACTTAACATGTAATTAGTTTTAAAATGTTGAGTTTACTATTGCATGCTTGCTTTTGTCACTAACCCTGAGTAGATCTATTTTATAATGGCTCTAAGACAACCAAAGGTCATTTGGATTTCAAATTTGATTAAAACAACTCACTTGTTAGCTTATGCTGTACCTACTGCTTTTTCCCCTACCTAAAGAGAAATAAATATACTTTGTGCGCAAAAGCTTGTATAAGCTATCTTCCACCTATACAGTGTCTGCTGTTCTAATGCAGAGAAATAAGAGTATGCAACTTTGAAGTTCTGATCTCTCATTAAAAAAGATAAGGTATTGACTCATTTCCTACTTGTATGTTAATTTACACTCTCTGCAAAAAGGCATAAAGTTATTTTGTACTGGAGTGATCTTATTACATCAGCTGCTAAAGTAAGGCCCCTAACATTGATTTGGGTGATTTTTTGTGAAAAGCAGTAAGGTCTGTTTCATAGACTTGGGACTGTGCTATATTTCTGTACTCCCAGGACAGCTATAATTAATGATAGTTCTTTTCCCCACTCTTGTAAAATGTTTTTGTAAGTTTGTCTTATATAGCACATGGTTTACCAGGCTGACAGGTGGTATCATTTTGCCTTGGGAGGGATGTAGGATAAATTAACTGGAGCCATTTGAGTCATTAGAAGTACAAGATGAAGTTTAAAATCCACAGGCTTATTAGTGGGCATTCAGGTTGACAGCATTAAATTCTTTATCTGGCCCAGTGGAATGATCTTTCTTTATATCCATTCCTCCTCCTTTCCCCCCCACCCCCCTTTGGAATTCAGGACTTGGAGCCACCTGCCAACTTTCTGAGAACAAATGTTTGTGCCCTGCAGTTGGCTAATATTTCTTGCTTAAGGTAGTGACAAGAGGAACAAAGAGTCCCTTTTCCAGGAAGGTTTTCAGGGTATGATTATAGGCTTATTTGCTCTACATTTACACCCTGTATAAACACTTAGTGAATACTAAAGAGTGTCTTTTGAGTTGGGTTACCCTGCTTTGTAATTGGAATAAGCTACTAAGTGTCCACACCTGGACTTAGTACAAAGTGACTAGTGCTCAGTAAATCCAGTTTCTACTAACTTCCCCATGTAGACAAGCCCCAAAAAATAGCGGTGCTGAGAAATGATTCTCTCTTGAGAACTGGGTAGCATGCAGTCTGGATTTGCTCTCTGTGTCGCTTTGAAAGGACTACTGAAAAAAGGATCTCATTTACAATAAAAATGTGAATCCCAGAGTCTTTACACTGAAGTACATAAAAAGTCTTGTACCAATATGGTGAGATTCAAAGCAAAAGGTCCTATGCTGGTAAATATTTCCCAGACTGTCTTTAGAAGTTAGTGGACTCCCTTTCTTTGCATTCATTTTAGCAAAATGTAATTTGAAAGCTATTTTCTTAGTTATAAAGTTCTAGTGCACTATTTGAGCCTGTTCCTCAAGAAGCTATACTTTGTGTTTGCAGATTACGAGGAACACAACCCCGATGTACAGGACTCCAGAAATGATCGACTTGTATTCAAACTTTCCAATTGGTGAAAAACAGGATATATGGGTAGGGACTTTCATTTATCTTTGTATTTAATACTGTCTGCTAGAGACTCTGTTTGCATAGTTAGTATAGTTAGTCTCATATTCTGTTTGAATGTGTTAGTCACTGTTGTAACGTGGAGTGCAGACTGCAGCTTAATTGGTTGCATTATTCTAATATTATAGAAGTGTCTGGCTGGCTGGCTTTATTTGCACTCTGATTGGCTGACAAACAACCAATCAGAGTGTGAAGAAGCATTTGGACAGGAGATGGTAGAGCGCTGCCATGATGGCAGAGACACGGGGGGGGGGGGGGTGAGGGTGAGGCCAGCGGTGCTGGCCTCGCCCTCCCTGTCCTGCTCCCTTCACCCTACAGGTGGGGCCCGAGCCAACTCCTTCCCCCCCCTCACTGTCACGGCCTGGCTTTTCTCTACCCCTGGGCCCGGGCCCACTCCTTTTCCTCCACCCCACCTCACCTTGACCATGGTGGCACAATGCTCCCTCCTGTCCTGGGTCCCACCTGCTGGGCTGCACAGGCAGCTCCTGCCCAGAGCTGGTCTTGCCAGGCTGCAGGCCCATACTCCACTGTGTGCCAAGAAATCTGGGGGGGGTATGTACCCCTCTCCTTCCTTTGTGCCCCCCTGCCCCATCTGTCCCCATAGACTTACCCTGAGGGAGATGCTGTTCACCATACTGCCTGGCTGGCATGTGCATACACACACATGCATGTGGCACCCCTGCATCGCACTCTT